ACCTATCTTAGTTCTAACTCCTAGATGACTCTGGTAATCCTGTTGTCCCTCACTGAGAGCCTAACCCCTTGCACTCTCTTCTACTGTTGATTTTTCTCCTTACTGGAACACGAATGTGTAAAGTACAGTTGGTCAGGTAGGCAGAAATTGGTTCTGAGCACTGCTGCAGACTAATCTGGATAAAACTCAGCTTATTCTGACCTAGAGAACTGTGTTCTTGCCAACCCAGAAAAAATGACACCATTTATTGTTCAGCTATATTTCATTCAGTGCAACTCCCCATGTGGGCACTCTGATTCCAGTACAAGACTGCTTTTTCCTGGTTTTTTTGGGTGCAGGGTATGGGATAAGGTAAATGAAATAAGACCTCTTAAACTGGTTTAGGAGTTCTTGTTTAATTTCATTGCAGTGGCAGATTTCCCCATGTAGACAAGCCCTAAGCCTTCATTTATTTTAATTATGAAATTTTAGAAGTGGTCTATATCCAACATAGTACCTGTGTGAGTGTGAAGTTTAGAATTTGTGGAACAACATTTAAAATTGCTTCAAATACAAAAGTTAGTGAATATGTTACTGAAGACTTGTTCAGGAAGTTCATTTGTTTAATTCATTATTTTCCAAGTCTGTAGATGGTACTCAGTCATTTAAATATAAAACAGGACTTTTAATCCTTTCTGCTGTGAGCTCATCTTGTAACTAGCAACTCTCCAGTTAAGAGTTACTAATTACACTCCATAACTGAGAAAAGTAACTTTAAGCAAGCACATCTTATCGTTCCAAACCAGTAGTCGCTCAATCTTTTTGAGCCCAGAGGCCAGATGAGTGGCACGTGACTGACAGTAGGCCAGATCCAAACTCTAGGGCCCAACACCACCCTCTCTCTGTCCTGTGTGTCAGGATTGGGTCCTGGGGGGTGCAGCACCACCCCCTCTCACACCCTACACACTAGGATTGGGTCCTGGGGGTCTGGCACTACTACATCCCTGCCCCCCACAACAGGATTGAGGCCTGGGTCCTACCTCCACCCCTGCCCAGCCCTGCATGCTGGAATTGGACTCCAGATCCAGCACATAGGGCCCAAGGTTCCCCATGGGTCCAGAAATTTGGCAGCAGAGGAGCAGTGCCACTGCTCCCCTGCCACCAGATTTTCAGACCCATGGAGAGCTCCCACCCTTTTTGCCCCGTCCTGGGCCAGGTGACATGGTGCCATGGGCTAGAGGTTGAGCACTCCTGTTCCAAATAAATCTTTAATGGCTTTGTGTACTGACCAAAAATTGCTATTTATTTAAAACTTATTTTGCTTCATGCTCAACTCAAGCGCTGGCTAATTTTACTGTTTGATGATGCTGTAATTTTTATTGAAGCTGTATTAAGAGGAAATGGGAGCACTTGCAGGCAGATTTTAGTGTTTCTGAAATCACTTGTTATTTTCAGTGCTCCTGTGGAAATTCTTGATGTTAAATACTTGTTGGAGTTCAGTATTGTATTTTTATAATTGTTCTGTTACCAGTAATGATACAATTGTATCACAGTGTTAGATAAGTGCATTGGTTATTACAGAATTTTAAGGCAGGAACATCTCAGCCACCACTCCTGCGGCCAAAAATTTATGCCCTGTCATAAGTAGTGAAATTCTTCAGAAACATTAACTAATTTTGAATAGATCTTGAGACTCCTATTTTTTCAAAAGTCTGAGCACCTGCCATTTCTGTTGAAGTCAGTGTGGGGAATGGTTCCACATCCTTTCTGAAAATCAGTTTGAAATTGTATCAGTTTGGACACCTAGAAATAGCAAACATCTGAAAGCTTGGCCGTAGCACACTTAGAAGTACATACTAAGTTAAGCATTCTACTGGACAAGGTGGTTAAGAAATGGCTGCAGCAGGTGAAATAGATTAAAATAAATCACATTTTAAATATCTTTCAGTCCTTTATAGATTTAAAATGAGCAAAAGAAGACCTAGCTTTTGGAAGATCAGTGGCGGTGGAAGCATCGCTTCTCTCTTTGGGTCACTGGAGTTAAGGCTTTTGAGAATTTAGGATGAGAGTGCTTTCATAAACGAACTGTTCTGTAAAGGATTTGGTATGATCACATGCTCTTAAAAAATCACCTGGTGTGTGGTAAGTTGTTATGGTTTGGGTAGGGATTGTAAAGGTCAAAATTAGACAGTGAAAATGTAAGGGTTAGCCTGACAAACAGAGCTGGAAATCACCTATAGATTGCATTGTGCTGAATGTTCTGTGCCTGCGAAAGTGTTCCACAGTGCAGGAAAAAGAACAAGAAGGATCAGAATGCTTTGGTGTGCATGTTGGGAGTATTTAATTGTGTAAGCATGGTATAATGAATTAGTCCAGCTTGCAGGTGATTCATCATTGTACTACTGGAGTTGTCAGCATCAGGTTCTTGAGAACTCATTTCTCCTTGGTTTGACTATTTGCACAGGCGCTGAAACTACAGTGAGACAAGGAAAGCTTCAGTAATTTCATTCATCTCTATTCCTAAAGAGACAGACATATGTCTGGTGACACTAGGCCAAAACAAAACAGGAAAGTTTATTTATAGAACAAATCAAATTAAAAACAGTATAGATAGTAGTGTGTATCTGGTTCTCCAGGTGGGCTCTTGTGTATAAGTTACTGGGTGTATTAAAATGGATGTGGCAATATCAGGGAAGGGGGAATCCAGAATTTCTCCAATTTAATTTGACTAAGAATTCTATGGAAAGAGAAAAGTCTCTGAACAAAGAGCTTTCTGCAGTGTCTTTGGCATGAGATTCTTTTCTCCTTTACTGCTAGAGAAAAAAAGTGGATCTGCTCCCACTAAACCTATGAAAAACTAAACAAAATGGCATTAACTTTAGTTAGTGTTTTCCTTAAGGTCTTTATCAGCATAGAAAGCTCATACTTAGCATGCTTCCAGCAAGGGTTTTTTCTTATGGTGGAGAGGAAAGGTCTTCTAATATTATTCTGTGACCTTCATCACTATTATCAGAGTACCTCAGAAGTTCTAGGATTTATCGTACTCATGCCTTTAAAGGTAGGGAAGTAATAGTTCCCACCAAAAATATGGATTGTGAGGCACAGAGAGACTAAGCAAGGTGCCTAGCGTTGCAGGGGAGGTCTGATGTAGGAAAGAATTAAATCTAGGTGTCTCAGTCCTAGGCTTAACACCCTGATAGCCAGGCTATTGTTCCTCTTTATCAGCTATAAAGGACAAACATGGAGGAAAAACAGATTAATCTATAGAGAGTAACATCATGTGATTCTCATTGGAACATATAAATACATTGACTAACTCCCAGAAAATTAAACTATTGCTCAGGCTTTTTTTGCGCATAAATGAATCTTTCAAGATGTGAAGATTGCAGAATTTCTGTTCTTTATGCACTCTTAATTTTCTCCATCTTGTGCCCATCAGATTCATGTGCATTCCATGTATGTGCCAATTAACAGTTGGAAGAGAAGAGCTGTTGGAGAAAAATAATAGCATGCAAGGTTGTGAAGGTATGGGTAAGTATCTTTTGTTTTCTGACCATTTAACTCCAGTCACAGAAAGAATTAGTTTTCATTCAACTATCCTGAGAGCACCAAACTATTACCACCATGATAGAGAACTAGGAACTGAAGTTTCTCCCTAGAACAGCCTGACAACCATTTGTTTTAATCAAAATAAATGCTGCTTTAAGCAATTATGAAGCATCTATCTGTTGCTGTCATCTTACCCATATATTACAGCGTGTGAGCAGCTTCCAGAATAGTAATTATAGAAATAACATTATTGAGCAATAGTCGCTAGAAAGATTGGCAATGCTTTCATTCTTAAAAGTTTTATATTAATTTTTTAGCAATATATAGCCCTTGACATGTGGACTAGGAACTTCATAGGATTATAGGAAAGCATAATTAGAAGGGACCTAACAAGGTCATCTAGTGTAGCCCCCTGCTCAAGGCAGGATTGTCCCCAACTAAACCATCCTAGCCAAGGGTCCATCTAACTTGTTTTAAAAACATTGCAAGGATGTTATCTGCAGCTCCACCCAACTTGGTGTCATCTGTAGATTTGCGGAGTGTGTACTTGATCCCCTTGTCCAAATCATTAATGAAGATAAAGCAATACGGACTGAGGGCAGACCCCTAGGGAACCCTACTTGATACCTTCTCCCAACTAGATGTTGAGCCACTTATGACTACTTGTTGAGTACAATGATTCAACCAGTTGTGTCCACCTTACAGGACTTTCATCTAGTCTGATGGGAGACTGTCAAAAGCCTTTCTAAAGTTGAGGAATATCCTGTGATGAGGTTTCCCCCCCCCACCCCAAAGAGTCTTTCCAAACATTGGCTTGCCTTCCACCTGCCTTGCCTTTGATGGAACTGATACGTTGTATCCAAGGCAGGAGGCTGCCCATTGAATGCCCAATGCCTCCTGTCTTGGAAGCATAATACATAGCTCTGACCTTCCCTTTACTATGTCTCATGCCTCACAGATGGTATCCAGATCACTACAGGCAGCCCTCAGATGTACAACACAATTGATTCCTGAAAACTGCATCTTAAGTAGAAACATTGCAACTCGGAACCAGTTTTCTTATAGGAACAATGTTAAATGGGGAATTGCTTGCTTTCTGATGGTCGACACAGCTGTGTCCAGCTGGTAAGTCTGTTGTGGTGCGGGGGCAAAGATCAGTGCCTCTGCAGTAAGAGAGGGACTGGGATGAGCTGCCACACCAGCAGCTCCCGGACTGGCAGCATGCAGTGGCACAAGCCGCCCCACCCCCTCCCTGGATAGTGCTTACCCCAGCCCAGGTCCCAGCCCCAATCCCTCCCTCACTGCAGGGGCATTGATCTGCCCCCACCCCATGCCCCTTCCCTCCCCGCTGCAATAGACTTACCAGCTGAACAAAGCTGTGTCGACCATTATAAAGATGAAACTGGCATGGGAACCTTGAAACAGGGTGTCATTTTACAAGTATCATAAATGCCATGTTGTAACTTGAAAAGTTGTAAGTCAAGGACTGGCTGTACCCCACTCCCCAACTCCAGCCACACTCATACTGAGCCCCTTGCCCCTCATACACACTCAAGGCCATTTGTCCCACTCTGGACCCCCTTGGTCCCACCAGCCTCTTTGCTGGGTGCTTTTTTGTCAGATTATGCTCCCCTAGCCTTTCTCCTCTGCAGCATACGCACAAGGCAGGGAGGGGTGAGGCTTTATGGCACCTCATCCTTATCTTTCACTAGGGAGGCACAGGTGTGCCATTTCCCAGAGAATGCCACAGGCAGCCCCACCACACCATCCTCCTTAGTAGGTTGTAGTCATTCTCTAGGACCAGGAACCTCTTCCATCCCCATAGTTCTTACTCTTGATATTTTGGGAGCAGCTCCAGCTGGCAATGTTCTCTCTCTGGCATCCTCTAGCAACTGTAAGCTCAGCTCTGAGGGCCCACATTTATATTGAGGCTGCTTAGCCAAATCCTCCAATCCAGGAGCCCTCCCGCAGTCATATGACTGCCTCACTAGGCTGCACCATACCTGATGCCTGCTCCACAGTCAGCTTAAGCCTCTTAAAGTGGCAGGCACTAGAGGTGCTGGGCCACATATTCACTGCTCTTATTCCATCCACATGCCTGTTACCTATATCATAGAAGGAGATAAGGTTGGTTAGGCTTGATGTGCTCTTGGTGAATCTGTGCTGGCTGTCTTGATCGCTTTGTTCTCCTCTAGGTACCCCCCCCCCCCCCC